TAAAAGTTTGGGGATGCGATGCTTATGTCAAGAAACTTCAACCTGAAAAGCTCGAACCCAAGTCGGAAAAATGCGTCTTCATAGGATACCCCAAGGAAACCATTGGGTATACCGTCTACCTTAGATCCGAAGGCAAGATCTTTGTTGCCAAGAACGGATCCTTTCTGGAAAAAGAGTTTCTCTCGAAAGGAGTAAGCGGGAGGAAAGTAGAACTCGATGAAGTACTACCTCTTGAACCGGAAAGTAGTGCAGCTCAGGAAAATGTTCCTGTGGTGCCTACACCGACTGGAGAAGAAATTAATGATGATTATCAAGGTACTTCGGATCAAGTTGCTACTGAACTTCGTAGGTCCACGAGGACACGTTCCACACCAGAGTGGTATGGCAACCCTGTCCTGGAAATCATGTTGTTAGACAATGGTGAACCTTCGAACTATGAAGAAGCGATGGCGGGCCCAGATTCCAACAAATGGCTAGAAGCCATGCAATCCGAGATAGAATCCATGTATGAAAACAAAGTATGGACTTTGACTGACTTTCCCGATGATCGGCGAGCGATAGAAAACAAATGGATCTTTAAGAAGAAGACGAACGCGGATGGTAATGTCACCATCTATAAAGCTCGACTTGTCGCTAAGGGTTATCGGCAAGTTCAAGGGGTTGACTACGATGAGACTTTCTCTCCCGTAGCGAAGCTTAAGTCCGTCCGAATCATGTTAGCAATTGCCGCATACTATGATCATGAGATATGGCAGATGGACGTCAAAACGGCATTCCTTAATGGTTATCTTAAGGAAGAGCTGTATATGATGCAGCCGGAAGGTTTTGTCGATCCTAAGAATGCTAACAAAGAATGCAAGCTCCAGCGATCCATTTATGGGCTGGTGCAAGCATCTCGGAGTTGGAACATTTGCTTTGATGAGATGATCAAAGCGTTTGGGTTTATGCAGACTTATGGAGAAGCCTGCGTTTACAAGAAAGTGAGTGGGAGCTCTGTAGCATTTCTCATATTATATGTAGATGACATACTTTTGATGGGAAATGATATAGAATTCTTGGACATCATTAAGGCCTACTTGAATAAGTGTTTTTCAATGAAGGACCTTGGAGAAGCTGCTTACATATTAGGCATCAAGATCTATAGGGATAGATCGAGACGCCTCATAGGTCTTTCACAAAGCACATACCTTGATAAGATTTTGAAGAAGTTCAAAATGGATCAGTCAAAGAAAGAGTTCTTGCCTGTATTGCAAGGTGTGAGATTGAGCTCGGCTCAATGCCTGACCACGGCAAAAGATAAAGAATAGATGAGTGTCATCCCCTATGCCTCAGCCATAGGATCTATTATGTATGTCATGCTGTGTACCAGAACAGATGTAAACCTTGCCGTAAGTTTGGTAGGAAGGTACCAAAGTAATCCCGGCAAGGAACACTGGACAGCGGTCAAGAATATCCTGAAGTACCTGAAAAGGACAAAGGACATGTTTCTCGTTTATGGAGGTGACGAAGAGCTCGTCGTAAAGGGTTACGTCGACGCTAGCTTTGACACAGATCTGGATGACTCTAAGTCACAAACCGGATACGTGTATATGTTGAATCGTGTAGCAGTAAGCTGGTGCAGTTGCAAGCAGAGCGTCGTGGCGGGATCTACATGTGAAGCGGAGTACATGGCGGCCTCGGAAGCAGCGCATGAAGCAATATGGATGAAGGAGTTCATCACCGACCTAGGAGTCATACCCAATGCGTCGGGGCCGATCAAACTCTTCTGTGACAACACTGGAGCTATTGCCCTTGCCAAGGAGCCCAGGTTTCACAAGAAGACCAGGCACATCAAGCGCCGTTTCAACTCCATCCGTGAAAATGTTCAAGATGAAGACATCAATATTTGCAAAGTACATACGGATCTGAATGTCGCAGATCCGTTGACTAAACCTCTTCCGCGAGCAAAACATGATCAACACCAGAACTCTATGGGTGTTCAATTCATCACAATGTAATTAGATTATTGACTCTAGTGCAAGTGGGAGACTGTTGGAAATATGCCCTAGAGGCAATAATAAATGGATTATTATTATATTTCTTTGTTCATGATAGTTGTCTTTTATTCATGCTATAATTGTATTATCCGGAAATCGTAATACACGTGTGAATACTTAGACCACAACATGTCCCTAGTGAGCCTCTAAGTTGACTAGCTCGTTGATCAACAGATAGTCATGGTTTCCTGACTATGGACATTGGATGTCGTTGATAACGGGATCACATCATTGGGAGAATGATGTGATGGACAAGACCCAATTCTAAGCATAGCACAAGATCGTGTAGTTCGTTTTGATAGAGCTTTTCCAATGTCAAGTATCTCTTCCTTAGACCATGAGATCGTGTAACTCCCGGATACCGTAGGAGTGCTTTGGGTGTACCAAACGTCACAACGTAACTGGGTGACTATAAAGGTGCACTACAGGTATCTCCGAAAGTGTCTGTTGGGTTGACACGGATCGAGACTGGAATTTGTCACTCCGTATTACGGAGAGGTATCACTGGGCCCACTCGGCAGTGCATCATCATAATGAGCTCAAAGTGACCAAGTGTCTGGTCACGGGATAATGCATTACGGTACGAGTAAAGTGACTTGCCGGCAACGAGATTGAACGAGGTATTGGGATACCGACGATCGAATCTCAGGCAAGTAACATACCGTCTGACAAAGGGAATAGTATACGGGGTTGCTTGAATCCTCGACATCGTGGTTCATCCGATGAGATCATCGAGGAGTATGTGGGAGCCAACATGGGTATCCAGATCCCGCTGTTGGTTATTGACCGGAGAGCCGTCTCGGTCATGTCTGCATGTCTCCCGAACCCGTAGGGTCTACACACTTAAGGTTCGGTGATGCTAGGGTTGTATGAATATGAGTATGCAGCAAACCGAATGTTGTTCGGAGTCCCGGATGAGATCCCGGACGTCATGAGGAGTTCCGGAATGGTCCAGAGGTAAAGAATTATATATAGGAAGTGCTGTTTCAGCCATCGGGAAAGTTTCGGGGTCACCCGGTATTGTACCGGGACCACCGGAAGGGTCCCGGGGGTCCACCGGGTGGGGCCACCTGTCCTGGAGGGCCCCGTGGGCTGAAGTGGGAGGGGAACCAGCCCCTGTGGGCTGGTGCGCCCCCCCTTGGCCCCCCCTGCGCCTAGGGTTGGAAACCCTAGGTGGGGGGCGCGCCCCACATGCCTTGGGGGGCACTCCACCCCCTGGCCGCCGCCCCCCTTGGGAGATTGGATCTCCCAGGGCCGGCACCCCCCCTGGGGGCCTATATAAAGGAGGGGGGAGGGAGGGCAGCCGCACCCTGTGTCTTGGCGCCTCCCTCCCCCTGCTACACCTCTTCCTCCTCCCGCAATAGCTTGGCGAAGCCCTGCCGGAGTTCTGCTGCATCCACCACCACGCCGTCGTGCTGCTGGATCTTCATCAACCTCTCCTTCCCCCTTGCTGGATCAAGGCGGAGGAGACGTCACGCTGACCGTACGTGTGTTGAACGCGGAGGTGCCGTCCGTTCAGCGCTAGGATCTCCGGTGATAGGATCACGACGAGAACGACTACCTCAACCCCGTTCTCTTGAACGCTTCCGCACGCGATCTACAAAGTGGTATGTAGATGCATCTCTCTCCTACCACTCGTTGCTTAGATGAACTCATAGATGGATCTTGGTGAAACCGTTGGAAAATTTTTATTTTCTGCAACGTTCCCCAACAGCAACCACGTATAAAAGCGCCCTTTGATGGCCGCCTACCGCCTTCCCAACTACCCATTTGATAACGCCCACGGTGTCCTATACTGGTGCCTCCCCTTTTTCCCTCATCTGTTCCTCCCTCGAGTGCCTCCCAATCCCGTCCTGCACGCCTCCAATCCACCACTTCATCGTCCATGGCGAAGTGGAAGGAGCTCCCCGTCATCTTCAGTTTCGAGGATGAGGAGAAACAGCCGGACCCGTTGGTCCCCTTTTGGGACTTGTATGATGTAGTGGTGGAGGAGGGCCGGAAGGGGGACGCGGAAAGGGAGCGGTGGATTTGGGACCGTGCGACTGGCCCTGTCGCCGATGCATAGTCGGCGTGGGACAAGCACGCCAAGGTCCTTCTGAGCCATCGAGGCCCGCAAATGCCTCTACCGATGCATGGACGTCCTTGGTCTTTCCCACATAAATGTCGTGTCATATCTTTTCAAACAATAGGGCATGCACGGAGAAGAATTAAAATCACCTGGCACCTACGTAAATTCTTTTACGTACTCCCTCAGTTCCTTTTTAGTCTGCATATAAGGTTTGGTGAAAGTCAAACTTTGTTAATTTGACTTAGTTTATAGAAAAACATATCAAGATTCACAATATGAAATCAATATGGTTAGATGCACCAGGAAATAAATTTTCATACCATATAGCTTTAGTATTGTAGATGTTAATATTTTTTTTCTATGAAGTTCCTCAAACTTTACAAAGTTTGACTTTGACCAAATCTTATATACAGACTAAAAAGAAACGGAGAGAGTATCTTACATACAGGCTTATGTGAAAACGTTTGATTGAAAAAGAAAAGGGAGGGGGGCCCACCCCTGAAAATCAGGGGGGCTGATTAATTATGGCTGGAAGGTTTTACGTAGCTTTTCGTAAAGCTATACGTAGGTGTAGCATTTTCATGGTACTATATAGTAGTAGTATGGTGTACGAGTTTATTGATTCAAAAAAAAGTACGGTGTACGAGTTTAAACGTTTTCATTTGCCGTTTGATTACAATTACAAGGAAGAAAATAAGTCAGCCCAGGTACAAGAAAATAAGTCGGCTAGTACTGGGTACTTTATTCCGAGAAGAGTATGGACGATGCCCGCACATGACCTACGCACGCGAGGACGGCGACGAAGACCATGCCAGTTTCTCATACGCCGCTGGCTCGGAAGAGCCTCATCAACCCAAAGGTGACGGCCATGGCAGCCAGTCCGCCCACCACCACCCGCGCGCACGACCTCGCCACGGGGGCCCGCCCCAGCACGGCGCCCACGCATCCGAACGCGGCCAGCGCTAACGTCGCCACGACGACCACCACGGCCACCCGCAGGTTGTAGCCCACGATGAAGCCAGCAGCCAGCAGCGGTAGGAGCGCCCCGACGGAGAAAGCCAGCGCGGAGGCCGCGGCGGCCTGTGCCGGGCTTGGCAGTGCCTTCTCCTCGTCGCCGCCACGCTTTCCGGCCTGGTCCAGCTCCGCGATCTCCACGTCCCGCTGGGAGCAGACGGACACGTACTCTCCGATGGCCATGCTGCACGCCCCGGCCAGTAGTCCCGCGAACCCGGACACGACCATGGCGCGCGCGTCGGGCTTGACGGCGCTGACGCCGAGCATGAGGGACGCCGTGGAGACCAGCCCGTCGTTGGCGCCCAGCACCGCCGCGCGCAGCCAGTTTGCGCGCCCCGCGAAGTCGATGGACGACTCGGAGTCGTCGACGTTGCCGCACACCACAGCCGGGTTCTCAGCGTCGGCCACGGCGGCCAGCTTGGTGTCGTTCACGGCCATGGCGACTAGGAGCTTGTGAGATGGGTGGAGATGGTTGGGTTCGCGGTGGTAGTAGCCGTATGCAGTGGCAGGCAGCAGCAGCGTGGCGAACACACGCTCCCCTGGCGTGGTTTTATAATGAATTTGAGGGTCGTGCCTTGTGTTCGTGTGTTGCTGTGGCATTGCCGGTCTTCCTTTTCTCCGCTGGAGTTGGGATTTCCAGCTTTCATGCCGCTTTGGCTAGTGCGTACATGCAGCCACACATCCTTTCCCTTCGGTATTGCGCGCCCGTGGCCACCACGAGCACACACCTACATTAATCGATGCATCGTGCTTGCTGAGTGTACATCATACCGAAGGCGTTTACAATGGCTAGCGATAATGTGGTCGCTTGCTTGCTTGCTCCTACATAAAAATGGTTTTTAATTTCAGTTTCAGAATTTTTTTAACTACACTCGAAATAACTGAATTTTATTGAATTTTAGTGATATTTCGTTATCATTTCGGTCATGGTAGTACTAAATTTTCCATTTGAATTTTATTGAGATCTAACCAAATAATTTGTGTGTAGTACTACCAATATTTTGAGAAACGAATAATCGTTCAATGAACATTAGTTCATTCAATTAAGCTTGCACGAATCTTTACACTCAGATTGGATGGTTCTTGTATAACGGACTCAAAAATATAGTCCCTTCGATTCAAAATAAGTGTCGCAGTTTTGAACTATGGTTGAAGAAGTATTTATTTTTCAGATGCATGAGAAATAGTGAAGCCGTTTCCTAAGAACACAATTGACATTGTTAAAGAGAAACTCCTTTGGAGAGATTTGGAGATGTTGGCGCTGTTTGGGTTGGATCCCCTGCACGCCCAGCCAATTTTTTGGCCTTAACCGAAGCATTGCGCTTGTTTGAAAGGGATCTAAAGTTTGGGCTCGCCAAGTCACCTTACCTTTTCTTCTGTACTTTTGCGCCAATTCATTGACGAAACTCGGGGCGGCCAAATCGGCGACCAATATTTTGGTGCGCCCGCGACGCCCACGGGTTGGCGTGACGCTTTTGGGCAACTACCAATCAGCCCCTACCTCTTAGCATATAAAATGTGGACTCCAGACTCGCTATATGCTGATCTTTTTCTATCTTTCTTACTATTATAGCCATTAAAAATGCATTTGAAAGAAGGTCGAATTAACCCGAAAACGTGTTCCAAAAATGGATCTGGCCTAAAGTTTCAGGATATGTCCCATCCAAGATTTTATCCATCCAATAGTAAACTCCAGTAATTATACTAAAACCGGCTTCCGTAAAAATACGTAATGGAAATGTGGATGTATTGTCCACACTAATGTTGTGGGTGGTTTTTTTCATGAAAATCGATGAGAATGCGTTGCTTCAAGAAAATTGGCACTGGTGTCCAGGATCAATGCAGGCACCCCTATACAACATCATGAGTAATTCGCAACACTCGATGGCTGCCAGGACAACACCACACAAAGGAGGTAGATACAACCTTCCGCATCACGCTGTCGAAAGAGTAGACACATGCTAGGCATACTATGAAAATGGGTGCCAACTATATAATCATTAATGTACTTACGAAAACATGGAGGACAGGAGCCAATGAGAGAGGCGCAATGGCGGCGCATGGGCAAATTCTTGGAGGGATGATCGACCGTGAGGGCGATAATTAAGATTTGGGCTGATTTTCACTGGTTATACATGCGATCCATTAAAGGTAGTCAAATAAATTCTCCTATAGCAACTCTAGTAGACCCCGCAAAACGCCCGGCCCGCAAAAATCCCAGCGAGTATGCGGGCTCGTCCCTATTTTCTGGCCAGAACAGAGCCCGCATACTCGCCCGTCCCGTAATTTTTTTTGCCGCAGCCCGCAAACGGCACGCACCGAGCAGTATAACTGCGGTTCGACGACCCTTTTGCGGCTTCAAACCCTATCCCCCCGCCGCCACGAGCCACCCGATTCCCCTTTCCCCTCTTGCAATTTGTCACCGTTGGCGACCACCCGCCCCGCCTCCAGCCGCCATGTGGGGGCAAACGTGGAGCTCCGGACGCGGCTCTGGCAGCAGATCAGTCCATGAGCGCGACCCGGAGCGCGAGCGGCGCGTCCAGGCGAACGGCGCGAGGAAGCGCGGTCCTCGGAGGTGGACCAACCGCGGGATGTCGCCGCCGCCGAGCTTCAACCGCCGCGAGACGGGGGAGTACGACTGTCGTAGCGCGTCATTCTCCTCCGCGAGATCTTCCTACGCCGGATCCTCCTCGTCCTCCGGCGCGGGCTTCCTCCCCGTGAAGAGGGAGTGGTCGGACGACGAGGTGGAGCCGGAATCACCAGCTCCGTTCTCCTTCGTCCCGGTGAAGGAGCAGCCTGAGGAGTCCGCTCCGCTCGGCCGCAACGGAGTCGTCGGGCCCGAGAACTACGTCGCGGACTTCGATGCCGTCGCCGCCGCATCACCCAGCGGAGCGTGTGCGAGGAGGCGGAGCGCCGGCGCCACGCCGAGGAGCTCGAAGCCCAGCAGTGACAGCAGGCGGTCGCCGCCAACGACAAGGCTGAGGAGTGGCGCCGCATCCGCGCGGAGCAGGCGGCGAAGTACATCGAACTGTGCAGCTCCGGCGAGGAGGATTGAGCGTCGCTCGGCCTCCACGGCGTCGTCCATTTTGCCGCGACCTCGCCATCGTCAGATCCGACCCCCTCTATTACTGGTTAATGTAGCATGTAGTATGATCTATGCTTAGTTTGTTGATCATTAGTATGTAAGAACTGTGTAGTATGTGATGTGATGAACTAGGTTTGCAATTTCTCCTGTGAAATTGTTTTTTTAAATTATGCAGGTTTAGATGCGGTATCTGATCGGCGGCGCATGTTTTCGACCTGCAAACGCGATCTTCGTGAAACCGCAAACGCGTTTTGCGGGTCGAATTTTAGCGGGGTCTGCTAGAGTTGCTCTAAGCAACCCCTACCTCTTAGCATATAAAATGTGGACTCCAGACTCACTATATGCTAATCCTTTTCTATCTTTCTTTCACATTATAGCCATTAAAAAATGCATTTGAAAAAAGGTCGGATTTCGAGAACGTGTTCCAAAAATGGATCTGGCCTAAAGTTACAGGATATGTCCCATCCAAGATTTTATCCACCCAATAGTAGAATCCGGTAATTATACCGAAACCGGCTTCCGTAAAAATACGTAATGGAAATGTGCATGTATTGTCCACACTAATGTTGTGGGTGGTTTCTTTCATGAAAATCGATGAGAATGCGTTGCTTCAAGAAAATTGACGCTGGTGTCCAGGATCGAGGCAGGCACCCCTATACGACATCATGAGTAATCCGCAACACTCGATGGCTGCCAGGACAACACCACACAAAGGAGGTAGATACAACCTTCCGCGTCACGCTATTGGAAGAGTAGACACATGCTAGGCATACTATGAAATAGGGTGCCAACCGGATAATCATTAATGTACTTACGGAAACATGGAGGACGGGAGGCAAGGAGAGAGGCTCAATGGCGGCGCATGGGCAAATTCTTGGAGGGATTTTAGACCGTGAGGGCGATAATTAAGATTTGGGATGATTGTCACTGGTTATACATGTGATCCATTAAAGGTAGTGAAATAAAATATCCTAGAGCTAGGGCGGCCTCCGAGATTAGGCCTCGCTATGGAGTAAGAGTAACTCTAGCAGATGATCCATATGTGGCCGATCGCTATAATAACCGCTAGCATGTCGATCATCACACAAAATGATACTCTAGAAAGTCGTCATATGTGCAGCGATAGCCGTATGTCGTGGACATCACTGCAAAAACGACCACATAGCCTCCAAATATGGAGGCTGTGACAGCCATGTTTGCAGGTCGCTCCAAACCCAACTGTTAGCACCGGAGCGAAGTTTCATCTTCTTCCTCCTCACGCTATATGCAGGATTTAAAGCAACATGACCACCAGCCAAGGGAGGGGGCGGGAGCATGACCGTCAACCACATGGCAAAAATATGACACGGCTGCTTGCTCAGATTCCAATGGCAACCCACCACGCATCACCATCTCCTAGCTTATTTGTGAGACTAGGAGGCGTGCGAGCAGGTCAGCAACCGCGTATAAAAGCGACCCTTGATGGCCGCCTACCGCCTTCCCAACTACCCATTTGATAAAGCCCACGATGTCTTATACTGGTGCCTCCCCTTTCTCCCTCATTTGTTCCTCCCTCGAGTGCCTCCCAATCTCGTCCCGCACGCCTCTAATCCACCACTTCATCGTCCATGGCGAAGTGGAAGGAGCTCCCCGTCATCTTCAGTTTCGAGGATGAGGAGAAACACTCGGACCCATTGGTCCCCTTTTGGGACTTGTACGATGTAGTGGTGCAGGAGGGTCGGAAGGGGGACGCGGAAAGGGAGCGGTGGATTTGGGACCGTGCAACCGGCCCTGTCGCCAATGCATAGTCGGCGTGGGACAAGCACGCCAAGATCCTTCCGAGCCATCGAGGCCCGCAGATGCCTCTGCCGATGCATGGATGTCCTTGGTCTTTCCCACATAAATGCCGTGTCATATCTTTTCAAACAATAGGGCATGCACGGAGAAGAATTAAAATCACCTGGCACCTACGTAAATTCTTTTACGTACTCCCTCACTTCCTTTTAGTCTGCATATAAGGTTTGGTCAAAGTCAAACTTTGTTAATTTGACTAAGTTTATAGAAAAATATATCAAGATTCACAATATGAAATCAATATGGTTAGATGCACCATGAAATAAATTTTCATACCATATAGCTTTAGTACTGTAGATGTTAATATTTTTTTTCTATAAACTTGATCAAATTTTATAAAGTTTGACTTTGACCAAATTCTATATGCAGACTAAAAAGAAACGGAGGAACTATCTTACGTACAGGCTTATGTGGAAAGGTTTGATTGGAAAAGAAAAGGGAGGGGGCCCCACCCCTGAAAATCAGGGGGGCTGATTAGTTATGGCCGGAAGGTTTTTGGTAGCTTTTCGTAAAGAAATACGTACGTGTAGCATTTTCATGGTACTATATAGTAGTAGTATGGTGTACGAGTTTATTGGTTCAAAAAAAAGTACGGTGTACGAGTTTAAACGTTTTCATTTGCCGTTTGATTACAATTACAAGGAAGAAAATAAGTCAGACCAGGTACAAGAAAATAAGTCGGCTAGTACTGGACACTTTATTCCGAGAAGAGTATGGACGATGCCCGCACATGACCTACGCACGCGAGGACGGCGACGAAGACCATGTCAGTTTCTCATACGCCGCTGGCTCGGAAGAGCCTCATGAACCCAAAGGTGACGGCCATGGCAGCCAGTCCGCCCACCACCACCCGCGCGCACGACCTCGCCACGGGGGCCCGCCCCAGCACGGCGCCCACGCATCCGAACGCGGCCAGCGCCAACGTCGCCACGACGACCACCACGGCCACCCGCAGGTTGTAACCCACGATGAACCCAGCAGCCAGCAGCGGTAGGAGCGCCCCGACGGAGAAAGCCAGCGCGGAGGCCGCGGCGGCCTGTGCCGGGCTTGGCAGTGCCTTCTCCTCGTCGCCGCCACGCTTTCCGGCCTGGTCCAGCTCCGCGATCTCCACGTCCCGCTGGGAGCAGACGGACACGTACTCTCCGATGGCCATGCTGCACGCCCCGGCCAGTAGTCCCGCGAACCCGGACACGACCATGGCGCGCGCGTCGGGCTTGACGGCGCTGACGCCGAGCATGAGGGACGCCGTGGAGACCAGCCCGTCGTTGGCGCCCAACACCGCCGCGCGCAGCCAGTTTGCGCGCCCCGCGAAGTCGATGGACGACTCGGAGTCGTCGACGTTGCCGCACACCACAGCCGGGTTCTCAGCGTCGGCCACGGCGGCCAGCTTGGTGTCGTTCACGGCCATGGCGACTAGGAGCTTGTGAGATGGATGGAGATGGTTGGGTTCGCGGTGGTAGTAGCCGTATGCAGTGGCAGGCAGCAGCAGCGTGGCGAACACACGCTCCCCTGGCGTGGTTTTATAATGAATTTGAGGGTCGTGCCTTGTGTTCGTGTGTTGCTGTGGCATTGCCGGTCTTCCTTTTCTCCGCTGGAGTTGGGATTTCCAGCTTTCATGCCGCTTTGGCTAGTGCGTACATGCAGCCACACATCCTTTCCCTTCGGTATTGCGCGCCCGTGGCCACCACGAGCACACACCTACATTAATCGATGCATCGTGCTTGCTGAGTGTACATCATACCGAAGGCGTTTACAATGGCTAGCGATAATGTGGTCGCTTGCTTGCTTGCTCCTACATAAAAATGGTTTTTAATTTCAGTTTCAGAATTTTTTTAGCTACACTCGAAATAACTGAATTTTATTGAATTTTAGTGATATTTCGTTATCATTTCGGTCATGGTAGTACTAAATTTTCCATTTGAATTTTATTGAGATCTAACCAAATAATTTGTGTGTAGTACTACCAATATTTTGAGAAACGCAATAATCGTTTAATGAACATTAGTTCATTCAATTAAGCTTGCACGAATCTTAACACTCAGATTGGATGGTTCTTGTAGAACAGACTAAAAAATATAGTCCCTTTGATTCAAAATAAGTGTCGCCGTTTTGAATTATGGTTGAAGAAGTATTTATTTTTCAGATGCATGAGAAATAGTGCGGCCGCTTTGATAGAGGCGAGGGTGTCCCGATTTTTCGATGAGATGATAATTGTCGATTTGGTGAAGATGACTTTGACGATCCGACTACAAACATGCACGACGTTGCGCCTTAGCAATCGCTAAACCAACTACGAGAGGTTATTGACCACGCCGGAGCACAATCAACCTGACCACGAAGGTCTATTCTGTAAGCAATCGAAGAACAAGCAAGAATATGATAAAAGCAATCTGAATATTGCGAGTATATATGAATTATTGATAAAGGTGGTGATCCGTGAGTTGTCTTGGTCCGGTCGTTGGACACAAACAAAGTACACAAAGTTGCAATGACTAACTTTTAACTAAAATATCCCAAGGAAAAAGCTACTAGATGGATCTACTACCTCCGTCCGGGTTTATTAGGCCCCCTAGTATTTTGGATCAAATTTTGACCATTGATATGATTAAGAAAATATATAATATATGCTACAAAAAGTACCTTGTTAGATTTGTATTTGAAAGATCTTTCCGAAGGTATAATTTTTATGACATATAATTTACATTTTATTAGTTAAATTTGTTGGTCAAACTTCAGCCCAAAATGAGAGGGGGCCTAATAAACCCGTACGGAGGTAGTACTTATATAGGAGCAAGGGGTGGCGGCCAAGGAGGTGGGAGAACGTCCCAAGGCAGCCTAAAACCAACCCTAGGTCGTACAAGGCTCATGGGCCCAAGTGGAGGTGATGCAACACCTTTGAACTTGTTGTTTGACTCGGATTCTGCTGCAGCGTCAGATTGTTTTGTCGATATCTCAATGATCCGGCCGAATTTGAAGGTGAATCCAATTGGATTGGATAGAGGACGAAATCTACTTTCCAACAAAAAAAATCACCCAATTCGGAGTCCGTATGAAAAAGTTGTTGTCGTTTTGAGTCAGGTATGTCTGTGCAGTCCAAATCTGAATCCAGAACGTGAGAGACTTGGACTCTATTTTCTCTTGGCCCAAAAGTGACGTGAGAGGACTTTTCGAACAGAACCTAAACTTCTCATTTTCCCTTATCTTCATATGTGGATTGTACAAATGTCCCATACACCTACAATTAGACAAAACACAAAAGTGTGTGAATTAATTTTGTTCTGGATAACATAAAAAGATTATTGAATAGTTTGCACTAGAAATCACCTAACAAATATGCATGTATGCAATATTTTTTGTCGTATCCAAGGTAGTCATGTCCTCATCATCCTCTCCTTCTTGAAAACAAAGCCGTCCTCCGCGTTGCTTAATCTGAAATGCGGCTAACAAAAGAGACAAGGTGTACATGTTGTATATGTATATGTCATCCATTTTTACTTCTCTTAATTTTTGCACATATGACACATGTATAAATGAATAAAATTCATAGATCATAAAATATAAAGCCAAAATATTTTCATAAGTATAAGACATGAAAATATTGCAACTCAGTTTGCACATATAAGTGAAGCTCTTATTCATATCAAAAGATTGACAATATTCATCATTAAACCATCCCAATATTGGTGAATAAATCTTATGTGCATCAAATTTACATGCTACAACATGCTTAAATAAGAAAACATGCAATAAGTTATTTGACACAGAATGATCACCAAGATTAGAGGTCATATCAAAATGATTAAACATTGGCACAATTATTTTAAAATGTGTTTGATCCAAATCTGATTTATTTCCTGATTCATATTGTTCTTTGACATCAACAGTTAATTCAATGGGCCCACTCAAAATTGTTGGTATTTCAGTTGTTTGATCGCATGATGTATTCATGACAGTAACATGATTCTCTAAAATTGGTGGCGTGCTCAAATCAACAGATAACTCAACACATGATGTATTTAAGTCAATTAGGCATGCATCATTCTCATGTGAAGTTATATCATCAATACCTTTATTGTTACCTTGTCGCAAAGACGTAGCTGATGTAGGTATGGACAATGAAAATATACCCTACACTTGAGATGATGTCACACTCACAATCGGAGGTGTGGCTGCTATACTAGGTGCAATGGTGGAAGAATCAACCGATGGTAGTGAGCATGAATTGAAATAGTAGTAGTTGTAGTCACCCAATGCATCCTCCTGTAACTGTCTCTCAAAGGTACAAGCATGAACATACATACCAGTAATGCAACGAGGAATATACTGAAATCTTGCCTGAATATCATGGTTTAAACCACCAAAAAATCTATTCATTGTATCATCCTCAGATTCTTCTATGTCACAATGATGCATATAAGATTTGAACTCTTGGTAGTAAGCATGAACAGTGTTGTTGCCTTCTTTAAATTGTTCATATTTGTGAAGTAATTCATGACGATAGTAAGGAGGGAAAAATTGTTGTCTCATTACATCTTTCAAATCTTTCTAAGTTGTGGGTTGGTTATCAATGTTTTTATTATAATGTACACTCCACCAAATAGAAGCAAAACCTGTAAATGCTCTCGTGGCAGCTCGTACTCGCTCAAGTTTAGAAAAGTCATGGTGACTAAAAACTTGTTCTACTTCAAGCTCCCAAGCTAGATAAATAGCAGGATTAAATCTACCCTCAAATGACGGTAAAGAGATAACCTGACCATGTGCTTGTGTGTGTTGTCCCAACTCCCGTGATGGTGAAGATGCGTCCGTCGTCCAAGAACTTCTATCTCCGAAACCTGTCATGATTAGTAGAAACAAGAAACAAAATTCGAGAATAATGTTCTTATGAACTACTAGGATGTGGTTGTAAACTTCTCACAGCAAAGTAAATATCAATATCTTACAAGTTCTTACCATGCGGCACGTGGTGACAGGCAACCAGCGGTGTCAAGTAACTTTGAAGATTGTGTAAAGCGATTGCCAGGAGAACGTATGTATACACGATGTAGAAATATATGGAGCTGAGTTCGCTATATATGGTAGCAAAAAAATTAGCAATAATCAATTCAAAGATACAATGTTGAATAAACGCTCAACGACGGTACTGTGCTAGTCCTAGGCTAGACCGGAATAGAGACGCGAGCCTAGAACACTAATAAGGTCACGGCGTAGCACAACTAGCATCAATGAAGGATACTAAGTAGCTCTGGACAGCAAGATATAAGTGAAGATCACAACGGCAGTAAAGATAATGACGAAAAACAACTGCCAAGCAGGATATACAATAACTCTCTCTCTAACTTTCCTCTTGAAAAGTTTGAGCCAATTTTCTGATTACTTTTTTCAAAAATGCTACTAACTCAAGCTTTCCAATGCCAAAAGAATCACTCAATTTCGAATTGATATGAGGAGTCAAAGAATTCTAAAACTAGTCTGAAAAACTGGAATAAACTGTATGCACGTACTTCGGAGGGCAAAAAGACCTATTTAGAAGCAGATTTTAAGACGCCAAATCTGGAACTAGCTTCTACAACTATTTAGATGAGGCTCGTCACTAGCTTTCTTTTGAGTACTCGCGGAGCCAAAACGGACTTCATATGAGATAGTTATGCCTGTTTTACTGAACAGTGCACAAAACAGATTCCAATCCAAATTCAACTACAAGATTGAGTCTAGATAGATCCGTATTTTATGTTTTTTCTTATATCTTTTTTTTCTCACATTTTTTTTCTTTTTTTCTCTTTTTCCTCACACTTTTTTTTTACTTTTTTCTCTCTCTTTTTTTTCTCCGTCTTTTCTCTCTCTCTCTTTCCAAAACAAACTAGATAAGATGCAGATTGGATCAAGCGAAGATGTGAACGATCTCAAGTAGGATTATGACAATGAACGGTGGGTAGAACATGGTGGAAATTGATGGATGGGTGGTGGACAACGGAAGGGATAATGACGCAGCGACAGCGTGACTAATGTGAACAGAACTCGAAACTCTAAACGAACTAGACACTAAGACCAGCAACTTGACACGACGATGCAACCGATAGTTCAATAATGCAAACAATGAAAAGAAAATTACAAAGGCTCAGACTGGCTAGGACAAAGGATGAATAGATCTAACTTTTTTTGTGGCTTTTTCTTGGACAATAAGTAAGAAAATAAATGGAATCTAGGGATAACCGGAAATTCTCACCGAGCAACCTGAAAACTGATACCACTTGATAGGGGCGAGGGTGTCCCGATCTTTAGATGAGATGATAATTATCGATTTGGTGAAGATGACTTTGACGATCCGACTACAAACATGGACGACGTTGCGCCTTAGCAATCGCTAAACCTACTCCGAGAGGTTATTGACCACGCCGGAGCACAATCAAC